CACCACCTACCACCAATATTTCCACAAAGAAACATGTCCTTTAGTACAACACCTGTAAATTTCTTGAACATATCCAAAGATGAAGACTCAACCACCTCCCTGGAAAGTTTATTCCAGAGTCTGATCACTCTTTCAGGGAAGTTTCTCCTAATACTCAAGCAAAGGGAATGAAGAAGGCCCATGAAATGTGGAAAAAGTGTCTGACTACTTGGGAAGAATACAGGAATGTTGTCAGGGTCTGCAGGGATGCGACAAGGAAGGCTAAAGTCTGCCTGGAATTAAATCTGGCAAAGGGGATAAAAGATAATAAAAAAGGTTTTTTCAAGTACATTAACAGTAAAAGGAAGACTAGGGAGAATGTGGCTCCCCTGCTAAGTGACGGGGGTGTTCTGGTAACAGGGGATGCTGAGAAGGCGGAGATACTGAATGCCTTCTTTGCTTCTGTTTTCAGTGAAAAAGCTCCCCCTTGGGAATCTGAGACCCTGGAGGTTAGTGAGAGGATCTTGGGAATGGAAGACCTCCCTTCGGTCAGGGAAGAGGTGGTCCAGGAGCGCCTAGGCAACACCAATGTTCACAAATCCATGGGACCCGATGGGATTCATCCACGGGTGCTGAGGGAGCTGGCAGAGGTGATTGCTGAACCGCTTTCTGTCATCTTTGAGAAGTCTTGGAGGACGGGGGAGGTGCCTGAAGACTGGAAGATAGCAAACGTCACCCCGGTCTTCAAAATAGGTAAGAAGGAAGACCCAGGCAATTATAGGCCAGTCAGCCTCACCTCTGTCCTTGGAAAGGTGATGGAACAGCTTGTATTGGATGTCATCTCCAGACAACTGGAAGAAGAGGAGGTTATCAGGAGTAGTCAGCACGGGTTCACAAGGGGGAGGTCGTGCTTGACCAACCTGGTAGCCTTCTATGATGTTGTCTCTGGCTGGGTGGATAGGGAGAAAGCAGTGGATGTAGTCTACCTTGATTTCAGCAAGGCATTTGATACCGTCCCCCACGACATCCTTATAACAAAGCTGAGGAAATGTGGGATAGATGAGTGGACAGTGAGGTGGGTTGAGAACTGGCTGACTGGCAGAGCACAGAGGGTCGTTGTTGGTGGTACAGAGTCCGGTTGGAGACCTGTAACCAGCAGTGTTCCTCAGGGGTCTGTACTGGGTCCGGTCTTGTTCAACATCTTCATCAATGACCTTGATGAGGGGATAATGGCCACCCTCAGCAAGTTTGCTGATGATACGAAGTTGGGAGGATTGGCTGACACACCTGAAGGCTGTGTTGCCATTCAGCAAGACCTGGATAGGCTGGAGAGCTGGGCAGAAAAAAACCGGATGAGGTTTAACAAAAGCAAGTGTAGAGTCTTGCATCTGGGGAGGAATAATTCCATGCACCAGTACAGGTTGGGGGATGACCTGCTGGAGGGGAGCTCTGCGGAGAGGGACCTGGGTGTCCTGGTGGATGACAGGTTGGCCATGAGCCAGCAGTGTGCCCTTGTGGCCAAAAAGGCCAATGGCTTACTGGGGTGCATTAAAAAGAACGTGTCCAGCAGGTCGAAGGAGGTGATCCTCCCCCTCTACTCTGCCCTGGTAAGACCTCATCTGGAGTACTGTGTCCAGTTCTGGGCTCCCCAGTACAAAAAAAAAAAAGGATCTCTTGGAAAGAGTCCAGCGGAGGGCCGCGAAGATGGTGAAGGGCCTGGAGCATCTCTCCTACGAGGAAAGGCTGAGTGAACTGGGTCTGTTCAGCCTTGAGAAAAGGAGACTGAGAGGGGACCTGATCCAGGTCTATAAATATCTAAGGTGTGGGGGGCAGAATGGCGAGGCCAGACTGTTTTCAGTGGTGAGTGGAGACAGGACAAGGGGAAACGGCTGGAAACTGCAGCATAGGAAGTTCCGCACAAATGTGTGCAAGAACTTCTTTATAGTGAGGTGACGGAGCACTGGAACAGGCTGCCCAGGGAGGTGGTGGAGTCTCCTTCTCTGGAGATGTTCAAGACCTGCCTGGATGCCTACCTGTGCGACCTGCTGTAGGGAACCTGCTTTGGCAGGGGGTTGGACTCGATGATCTCTGGAGGTCCCTTCCAACCCCTACAATTCTGTGATTCTGTGATTCTGTGATCTCTTCCAGTTCCACTCCTGGGTATTGGCAACATTATCAAATTACACTGTTTGCGTGCCTGTACCTCCTATCAGTAAAACAACCCAACTGACTTCTAGCTTGATGAGGCATAGCTGGATTACATTGTTGTTGCTTAATTATGAAGCATTACACTAACAGGTGCTTAAATGATATTCAAGCAGCTACCTAACTTTACCAAAATTCAATTTTTATTTGAAGTGCTTTAAATCTTTACCTTGATTCCCCCTTCTTTTTGTTTCAAGGATTGTACATTAACTTGTCATTTTTATTTTATTCTCCACTGTGCCTGCACCATTCTCTAACTACAGCGAGTTTTGTTTCTGCAGCTAATCTTTCATTTAATGCATTTTTTTGTATAATAAGACAGAAAATCAAAAGTTCCACTTCCTGACCACATTGCAAGTTTCAATGCAGAGCAAGAAGGAGAATGCATCCTCAGATGGGTATCTATGTATTTATCTCAGCAGCGGACAGAAGCCAAGCAGCAGCAGCCCAGATTTAGAGACAAATTAATTTTTCATACCCCACAGTGAAGCTACTAATTACTATCTGAACTAGGTGGCATCATATCCCTTACACTTTGTTCACTTCACATGTGTGGTCTGAGGATCCTAATGGTGGAAGAACAGTCCATAGCAATCCACAGCTCACTACTGGTAGCCTTTTGCTGTGGGTGCCCTTACCAAGATGGTTTAAGCTGATAAGGAAACTCCACTGAAAACGTCACTCCTTTCTTTCTCCACAGAATCCTCTGCAGCATTCACACCTGCTCTCTGACACAAACTTTGGTACTCCTTGAAAAGGATAACATGCAGCTGAATGATGGAAAGCTGCAAGACTTTCCTCTTTCATTTTTTAAAGAAAGGAAAATAATTCCCTTCATATCCCTACATAGGACTGAGAGGTTGCTTTAAAGAAAGGCAGAAGGCTTTATTGTTCAAAAAAGTGTCTTACTCTAATGCAAGGCAGGAAAACTTACTTTTAAAAAGCAGAACTCTGAGCAGCTCAATCAAGCAGAACAGATACAAACCACTGGTCTATAAACAGCTGTCCTGAATATGCCAGGCAGCATTTTCCTCCAAGCCTTTCTCTGGAGAGCCCACTAGTTTGCAGCCTGCTGGAGCAAGCACTACGCCTTCCAAGTGAGTGCTGAGGCTTTCTTTTTCTTCATCCTTCCAGCCCAGACTGGATGCTGTTCTCCCCACAGCATAACCAGACAACTTTTACCTCCCACCTAGAAATCAACCTGCTCCACCTCTGGCGGCAACAGTAAAACACTCACTTCTATTGAAGGAACATACCTGAGTCAAGCTTTTGCAGACTGCAGAGAATAAGCAAATAGAAGAAAAAAGAAACTGCATTGTAGAGGGGTCCACATCATTGAACAGCAATGTGTTGCCCCAGAAGAGCATGGATGGGGGTATAAATACTCTGATTAGGCTCTGAGCTAGCCTCTGGAGGGGGAAATAATTTCAGCGACAGTCAGATATTTGAAGAATTTTGCCCTGCAGTTTCAAGTATGCAGTTGTTAAAAGGAGTTGTAGTTTCACTCTAAAATAGAGAAGTAGTAGCACTATTTTCTACTGAGAGAAACACAAGTTGAATGAAATCTCTGAAAATTACCAATAAAATATGAAACAATTCCAATGTGTTAGGAAATTAAACAAACTAGTGAATAGTTTGGGTAGATTAAAGCATGTAAGCAGTAAGAGATGTATTCATTTATCTTAGAAGAATTAATAACTATGACTTTGATAACTTAGCAAAGGAAAAGATCGCATCAGGATCAATTCCGAATACTTTTGCAGAGCAAAGCTGGAAATTGAAGCTTAATCCAGATGTCTGAGGGGAAAAAAAAGCACCAAGAAATGGATTAGGGTGTTCAGTAATCTGTTTACAGTCCATTTCTGAAGCACTATGCCCTGTGGGAATGAGCCATGCTGGAGCAGAGAACCAGCAAGGAGGAAGCATCAGCAAAGACAAACTGTTACAGACAGACTGCAACCACCCCACAGCCACCTGCACTTCTCAGGAGAGCAGAAGGTTCAGGAATGAATCTTCTTCCCTGGGAAGAAAGAGCGGGGGGAAAGTGGGTTTAGCTTTTTTTGTTTCTCACCACCCTACTCTATATTGAACTGAAAGTAAATGTGCTAAGCCTGGATTGGCCATAAAAGTAACCACAAGTGATCTTCCTGTCTCTGCCTCAACACAAAAGCTTTTCCATCCTATCTCCCTATGTTCTGTCAAGGGCAGGATATGAGACTGGCTGCACAGGTCTGGAAGCCAGCCACAGCCATACCCACCACACAGGAAGGCAGCTTCCAGGATTGCCGAGGAGAACACATCTGTGCCCAGATTCACCATTCCTAGCAACGTGCCTTGTGCAACATGTAGCATGACATCCACTGGGAAGGGGCTGAAAGCAGTGAGCTCTGCAGAAACTGCTAAAGACTGATCTGCATTCAGTGCATTCAGGGCACAGGGGAAACAGTCTCCACAACAAAAGCACAGATCAAAAAAAACTTCACAGATCTCAAGCAACACGATCAAAGTTATTCCTATTTTCAGGGAGAGCTGGGACCTGAAAGCCATTCAGCCTGGAGCACCCTTGACAACACCAACATATGTACTGCTGTATAAAACCCAAAACTGAAAGAGATGTATTCTGTTGACAAAGCATACAGACCATGTATTTGCTTTTTTAGACCAAAAATTCTTCTTGCCTTTATTAATATTTCAATATTAATAATAAGGGCTATTCAGTATCTACATAGAAACTGCCTACTGCTTTTCAGCAGAGGTCATTTTACACCACACACATGAATCTGGCAGTAAAAATTAATTGTACTAAATTGTAAGAACTATGCATCTTTCCAGTGATGTTCCTGGTGTTTCTTCTTACACTTTTTCTTTAAAGAACACTTCATTATCTCTGTCCCCTTATAGACTCCCTCCGCACTTGGATTTCCCATACTTTTATTCTTTTCCTCATGTTTTATCTCACTACTTTCTTGGTTGTCTGAAAGGCTGCCTTTATTTTTGTAGCAGTCACTGAATGTTGGGAGACTATATTTTTTCTCCATAGTGGTGCTCCCCTTCTCTGTGTTCTCCAAGTGTCGAGTTTTGCACTTTCTCTTTCCACCAGGCTTTTTGCTTCTTGTTCTGTCTGCCTCTCCAGAAGGGCTCCTTGATCTGGAGCTTGATCGGCTCCTTGATCTGCGTTGTTTGTAACAGGAGTCCTGTCTCTCCTGGAATCCCATTTGGCTTTGCAGATCTGTCCTTCCGGTGAAGGACTGGATCCTGGATTCCAGACCAGGAGACTTGTTCGAGCAATGAGCTTTAGTCTGAGTGCTCTTACTGCAAGAGAAGCTGTCTCCAGCTGTCTTTGGACTGTGTAACAGGTAACTGCTTTGGTAACAGGCTCTTCTATAACAACAATCACTGTCTAGGCTGCTTGATTTCCTTTGGCCATGGCCTTTGTGATGTGACCATGATCTGCTTGAATCTCTGGAGCTAGTGCTCTCACAACTAGTGGACTCTGTCTGACTTTTTAGAGAGGGGCTCGTGTCATGCAGCCTTGATCTCCTGCTTCTTTTGCTCCAACATTTGCTGCCATCTCTGCTTTTTGATAGTCTCTTTTTAAACTGGTATTTAACAAGGAGGTGCTTCCTCCAAGGCTGATGGCCATGAGTAGTTTCACTGTTCTGTGGACTACTGATCTTTCTCTTTCCGGACAGTCTCTGGCTGTGAGAAGAGCAAGCATTTTCCATCCCTGGAGACAGGCTCCAATCTGAATCACGCGGAGAATGATCTTTGTTCTCCTGTTCATCCATTGACACTATCTTTTTGACTACAGAGAGCAAGGAGCTTTTATGACTACTCACATGCTTCTTGTACAAGGGAGAGAAGGGTATTGAAGTCGTGCTCAGTTCTCTATCACTCCAGCTGACACCCTGGATTGACTGCTCTTTCTTCATATCTTCCTTTTTCCTCTCCCTGACAGAGTCCTCAGAGTCTGAGGACAGCTCAGTCAGTTCTGGTGTCCTGTCAGCATAGAGATTAACATAGCCAGTGATATTGCGGTACTCTGAAGAGTCACTGTCACTGGAATCAACATCAACCTGTAACTGAGGATGCAGTGTGGTTCTCTCCCAAACAGAGTCCTCATCAGAGCTCTCTAATACCTCTGGAGAAGTTATGATTGCATTATACTCTTTTGAAGGACCTGGAGTTTCATCATTCCAGGACAACCAATCAACACTATGCTTAGATGAACCATGCTCTAGCACTTGAGAATCCACCTCATCTGGAAAGACTACAAGAGTTGTTGAGTCTGAGCTGCTTCCTTCATTGTGCAATGGTGTAGGATAGTCAGAACTGGTATGCTGATCCCATGCCTTTAAGTCAAAAGTTCTTTCAGCAGAAGTGATGATGCTGCAATCAGAGTAGGAAAAAGATTCATTTTCTTCTGGCCTAGATATGTCATCTTCAGCATGAACTATATGACAAAGAGAAAAGAAGGGCTGTTGGCAGAATGGGCATTCTGCTTTGATTTTGGACCATTCTTGGATACAAGAGAAGCAGAACTTGTGCCGGCAAGGATCTAGATACACAGTATTATCAAATCTGTCCAAGCATATGGGGCACTTAGAGTAAGGAGTGTCCACTGGCATGGTCTGCAGCTGCTAGGATAAGCTTTGGGCTAACAGCTGCTGTCCTCTGCAAACAGGCTGTGGAAGCCGTGTGCTGCAAAAGAAAGAGACAAAAACTATGTGCACGTGTTTAACTTACAAAAAAATCTCAATCTCTTTGGTTTCCCCCCCAACCAATTCAAAAACGCTATGAAAGTCAATTTAAAATTAAACTCTACAATTTACAGTCGTTTGGGTCCAAGCTGTCATAAAATAATCTGAGCCAGAGAGGCAGCTTGCTCTAAATTCAGTTCAGCCAGTACATTCAGGCCTTTGTATTAACTTTAGCAAGATGCAGTTTTGATCAAATTGGTTACAGTGAGGCT